CCCCCCCCCCCCGCCGCCCCCCCGCCCCTCGCTCACCGTGCGGCCTCTGCTGACGGCGCCTGTGCCCGCCCTCGGGGCGCTCCCGGTACCGCCGCACCCTCGCCGCGCCCCCGCCGCCACCGCCCGTCCCGCGGCGCGCACGGCGCCCGCCGCCCCCGCCCGCCACATGGCGCCCGGGCCGCTGCGGAAGCGGCGGGGCGGGGCTGGGCCGGCGCGCGCCACCGCCCCCCCGCGGCGGCGTGAGGAGAGCGGCGGGGCCGGGCCTAGCTGGGCTCATTCGGCAGCGGGAGGGCCGGGGAGAGGGGCGGAATGTGCGGGTTTCTCTTCCTCCCAGCCCCTGCTGGCTCCAGCCTCAGCAGCGCCAGCATAAATTAAATCCAAGTGCTGCTGCTGAGGCATCACAGGCATATCAGAGCCGAGCACGCTCTGTCCGCCCGGCCTGGCTTTCGAGGCTGCGGCGGCTTCCCCGCCGCTTCCCCGCCAGCCTTAGCCCGGTGTCCTTTTCCCGGCAGTAGCACGGCCTGGCACGGCTGTCCCTAGGAAACGGGTGCAGGGCCCAGTGTGCTGCTCAGGCTCCCCTCGGGGAGATCTCTATCCCGACGTGTCGTAGAGTCGGGGAGCTGCGGCTGCTGCCGCTGAGCGCTCCACCGCGCCGCTGTTCTCAGAGCAGGCAAAAATCGCTCGTGGGCGGGTCTCTGCAGGCATCTGCTCGGGCGCTGATTTACAGGGAGCTGGAGCCTGGGAAGAACAGCAATTAGAGGCCACACTATGCACCAGGCATTGACTCAGGGGCTCGTTCGAGGACTATTTTCTGTGACAGGAAGAATTCTGATCTACGTCCTGCAGGTAAAATGTTTCACTGAGCCAGTAAAGGAAAAATAAAGCACATAATTTATCACACCTGACATTTTCCACTAAGTTACATAAATGCTGGTGATGCCATACTGTCAGCAGTATGTGAAGATGTAGTCTCAGCCAGACACGTCATATTCTTAAACTAAAAGAAATAAACTAGGTTTGCCAAGTAGATGAGAGGAAAGAAATAATTCCTATAAAAAGGTTTCTTTAAAAACCCACACAGTTTCTATGGGAGCACAGACAACTTTCATTTCAGAGCTTTCCACAGGACAGGACCAAAAGATGCAGCCGTTGCAAGTAAAACCATAAATATGAAAAGCCTACTAGCGTTCAGAAGGTTACTGCTGGTTAGTGTGTGATGCATTTTTATATTTCAAAAACTCTTAATTAAAGTAAGCAACTGGGTGCACTGAGTCACCTAATCTAGTTGAAGATGTCCTTGCTCATGGCAGAGGGGTTAGACTAGGTGACCTTGAAAGGTCCCTTCCAATCCCTTCCAATATTCTATTGCTTCTATGATCTTCCACTGCATTTGGGATTAAGTTACCAAGCTTCTCACCGAGATTTGTAATTCTATTATATTTTTCTATAAGCCAAAATTATTTTACTCTACACAAGGGGAAAAAGCTCAAACAATTCAAGCCACTTGCATAAATTTCAACTGAAATGATAAAGTCTGTTTTAGCTAAAAGCTGTTTGTACCAAACTGTTATCTAACTTAGCCAGCTTCTTGTGTCTTTTCAACAGACTCCTGTGTCTTTGTTACCAGTGTCTTCCCAATTTGTGTTCTTGTTGTATTTTGTAGGGGAGGTTTTCATACATCAAGCAGATTTAAGATACTCTTTAGTTCCTTGAAGAAGAACCCATTCTTAGCCCTGCTGGGAGAAGCTACTTATGTTTCTACAGGAGTAATGGTTTACAGACTGAGATAAAGCGTGTACAAACAAATTACTTGTGTCAGACCACAGAATACATTGGTAAAGCAAACTACTGGGTTTTTGCACCTTGGTATGGAAGGGGAAAAACAGCTAGAAGAAAGGAGGAATACCTGTTCGTTTATGTAGTATTTAATCTATTTAAAGATGCTGATTATTAATATAGCTTGCCTTTCCTATTAAAACAACCTCAGGTGTTTTCCGGTATTATCCAACTAGTTCCACAGTGATTTTTCTCTAGTCATCCAAGTCATACACAGGTCTCAATAGGAAATGTTCATCTTGTGTTTCTAAGTTCATGACAAATCAATGAATTAGTGTGGATTAAATATTTTCTATAGTACTAGCAATTTCACATACCAAATATTTTAAAAAGAAAACAATTGATTCAAATGTAAAGTTCAAGTTAGTGAATTTTACAATATCCTTACTACCAAGCAAGGATCAGTCACACAAGTTCTAAAGGCCCAAGTTAGGGATTAGCAATTTTAACAATGATTTCTTAATGTTTCTCATCTTGATTCTTGTCCCTTAGGTTAATGTTGTTCATATCACAATATCACATATCAGTACCTTTTAACGCTGAGTGTTAAATACCTGTGAAGGAGTTTGAGATGCAGAAGCACTGCAAGGTCAGGCCCCACACATGTATAAGTCCACAATGGCTCCTACAGAGAACAGGAGGTGCATGCTACTGATTACTCCTTTATCACTGGTTTGGGGAAAATACCATTGAGTTATATGAAATTAAATTGCCTGAAGTATAAGCAGAGAAAGTGTTTTCAACAAGAAAACAGATGCTGGGATATGTGTGCTTTAAAACCACTGAATTATAGCACAAGGACAGAGAGTGGGTGTTTTTATTTGTTTGTTTGGCGGGGGTTTTTGTTTGTTTGGGGCTTTTGATTTATTCTTTATTAAGTGAGGGCGGCTATTTGGTGGTGCTACCACCAAAGGCAAAACTTCACCTCTGAATGCTGTATGATTAAGTCACAAGCTCAGATAACAAAAATTTGGAATTATTCCATACCTTTCTCAAAGCTGGCATCAACCTGTGCTTTTTCATTCTGAGCAGCTTGCAGGGCCAGAGTATTCAGATACAATTGCCCACAGATAGCCCACGTTTGTGACCTAATTCTTCTTCGCTCCCTGTGGCAAATTCCATCTGGAGAAATAGACCAATACATTACTTTAAATACTCCCATCTGATTGTGCCTTCTGTATATTATTTTTACTTGACATGATCTCCCTCATCAGCTCTAAAGGTAGTCTTTAAATTTTCATCAAGTGAAACACCAACATGAAACACCTATGCAAGATGAAGAGAACCAAAATACTTAAACATGAAACTTGCACATCCCTACAAACTCCTAACTCTTTGATATTTGAAAATTGATATCATTTTATGCACTAGAGTAAAATGGATTCCAAGTTGTTGATCATTAACCACACACACACACCTTTTAAGTGCACATGATTTGGAGGAGGTTTCCCCAGCAGGCTCCATAGTCATATAGGATTTCCTTTATCAAGTGTTCAATGACTGTTTTGATTTATAAATTACTGAGTTCAAGGGATTGTACACAAAAGATGTCTGAGTCTCTGAATCATTTGGCATAGATGTTCTTGTTTTGGACAGAATTGTTGCAGTTAGGCTGTGAGTCCTTTGGGTTCTTCCTAAGAGCAAATGATTCAGATGTTATAGTTACTAGGTAATTAGGGAAAAATTGTCATGCGTGTTCTTTATGAAGGTTAATTGGGTGCTTAAATGTTTTTCCCCAAATAAGATTAATGACAAATATCTGCTTTGCACAGAGACACATTCTAAATATCCTGTATACTGCACATGAAGGAGCAGACACTTTGCAGATGTACAAAATGTTTTTACTCATAGGACACAAAGATTTGTTTTACTTTTCTCAGAGGAATGCTGCAGAAAAATTACCTTGCTGAGATTAAGCAGTCTAATTTTAAAGCCTAGAAAAGTGTTAATCACGAGATACAGGCTGTGAGCAAAGCCTTAGACTCTGCATCCTTAGAAAGCAAAAAACTCCAAACCCCTTTAAATTTCTCTATACTGTGCATAATTTAGGAATTATTCTTCTTACTCATCAGCATTATAGGATTATATCAAAGTAAAACAAAAAAAACCCACCACCACTACCTCCAACCAAGCTAAAACAAAAAAAAAAAAAAATCCACCACACCAAATCCTTGAAAGAAAAATTCTGTACAGATACAAAGTATAATTCTAGGATTTAAAATGCCAGGCTCTGGTTTTGTCAATTTAGCAGGTTTACAATGCTTATTCCTAGAAGACATATTATTACAAATAACTTTGGTAGCTTTCTAATTGACACCAGTGCAAATTTTTAAATACACCTCTTCATTGAAGCATAAAATCTTGGACTGATGATCACTGGCATTTGGTACTATCTCCTTGTTACTTGGGGAATCTGGGAACCAAAACAGTTTCTGTTTTTGATCCTTTGATGTTTTTTTGATCCTGAAATGATTGCCCATACTGAAAAATCTGAAATGGTTTTATAAAGCAATCCCTGTTGAGTATGTTCCTTTGGCTTTCCTGCTCTAATTTCAAGGTTCTCCTTTTTATTATAGAGCTGGTAAAGACAGACGCTATGTTTGTCACATCTCAAGAGGCCTCTTAAGACTGTCTCATGAAAGTAGGGAAATGCAAGAACAATTAAGTCCAGTATAGGTAAATAGCAGGATGACAGCTGTGATAGTCTTTAGAATAAAATCTTTTATTCATCAATAAAACTATAGTTTACAGTAGTATTTTCTAAATAAATTATAGAATTTCTCTTTTACAAGAAATAAACAAAATCAAAAATATTTCAAGGACAATATATGTACACAACATAAGGCCTTATTATAAATAACATTTTTATCTCCTTTTTACCAACAGTGAAAGTATCTTTAGAGGTTCATTTTCATATGGTATGTGCAGATATTTGCCCTAACCCTCATACAACATCAGTACCAATTTCCACTGATGTGGACCTAAGCAATTAGAACTGAGAGAATCAAAAAAATTAAATTGATTTTATTCACCACTGTGTTTATTTTAAAATAGGTAAAGTAGGTAATCAATTTTGCTTGTGCATAGTTACAGAATGCATGCAAATGAAACCACTAGAGAGCTGATAAGAAAATATCACTTCAAAATCCAAAAAAAGGTGATTGGCAATTTTGTAGAAAGCAGCCTGAATACACAGGTCTTCACAGTTGAGCAAGCAACAGCAGATGACAGCAGTGTGGAATGTTTCATGTCATTTTTGTCAAGTCCATCAATCTTTTCTATGGTTCAAAGATCCTGGCATTTCTTAGAATAAGTTCCATTGATTATTACTC